CCGGGGTCACCATCAGGCTGTTCACAATGCAAAAGCAACACTGGTAAAAGTAATCGAAAAAGTTGCCAGCTGCAAAGGTGGAGGACCGCACCACGAATTATAAGTGACCAAAGTATCAAGCAAAATGCATCAAGAAGCGCTTCCGGTGTTTGCAACTTTTTGAAGCAAATGTCGCGAAATAACCACACGTTGTATTTGACTTGTACCCTCGTAAATTTGATAAATTTTTGCATCGCGCATCAGCTTCTCTACTGGACATTCTTTGCTGAATCCATTACCTGCAACAGCATGGTGACCCGATTTCTACAGTTGACAGCCAAGAATGCCAAGGCCGCCTGACAATCAGTTTGGGCATCCGATGTTAGTGAGTATACAATGTAAGATCACAGTCTTACTAGATTTCTCTACAAATTTGGTATAGCTATGCCAGGCCTTTCGATCCAGAATTGCATAGTTCAACAGCAGTAAAGTTTGTGCTAGTACTCTTGTTTGACTCAAGAGATTTTCGACGTAAGCGCTAACGATCCGACAGTGGAAACGGATCAGTAAAAATTACCGCTGATGACGTGAGGAAGACAGAAGTTTCGACTTCACTAGTGGAACAATCAATCCCTCTATGATTCGTTCATTCGTTCCCACAATATATTGGTACTAGCCTATACCAGGATGTCAAACTTGCCATCAGTTTGCTTGTAAACAACTCTCAGAAGAGTAGCCATCGACAACCCCACTTTTTCAGAGGGCAATTGCTGTTGCAGTTTTCTACTGCTCTTACAAAAACTGAATGCGGAACAATTCTGACTTCAGTGGCAACGGCAGTAGCAGATGTAAAAATATAAAAAATCTGGAAAAAAAAAACCTCCAAAAATTTGTACAGCATTGCTGGCCGCAACATTGGCGGTATCGGCGGCGAAACACTTCGCAATTGAAGCATAATAGGAGGAAGTTCACCGCTGTCGATACCGTGCGCGGCGCGGTAAGTGATCCAACGTGCTAGTTCTAGATTTGCTGCCATATGTGCCAACGTAAATGAGACTCTTTGGTGCTGGAACAGGCTCTTTTCAAGTAGCAATGAAGTCAAGGTCATCGATATCAAAAAATTTTCCAAAGGATCCAGCTTCGGTCGGTAAAGCTTTTTCTTCTTCCCGCAAAGTTGGGCTTTGGTCAACAAAGCTACCCGAACTTTTTCCCAGGAAATCCAGCTGCGGCCAGTAAAGCCACACTGGGCTTTACTTCCCCCAAGAGATTCCACTGGGGTCAGTAAAGGTGCTTGGGTTCTAAAGATACCTTAACCCAGAACATCCAGTACTTGTCAATAAGGCCAGTTGAACTTTCTTTTTCGTCGAAAATCCAGTTTTAGTCAACAAAGCTACTCTAATTCGTTCTCGTAAAACCAGGATAAGTGATTGACGTTCAGCACACAATAATATCTTGAAACATCTAAAGCCTTGCCAGTTGCTTCTATCGGACGTGCCGTTGAATTGGTGAAACCTTCAGCGGATGAAACGAATGTCAAAATCGCTAGCAAGCTGATTGTCAGGCAAACTAGTATTGGTCAAAGTGCTACGAAAGTCGAAAATTCTTGTCAAAATTCGTCGACTTTATAGACAAAGTAACAAAATCTTCCATAAATTTGAAACAAACAGAATTTCGGCTTCTGAGAGAAGCAACTGTCGGACGATAAGGGACTAATGGTTTTTTTCAAGTGTCAAGTAACTAAGAAAAATATCAAGTGCCCCCTCAACTATCAGGTACCAACTAAGTAAGAGTCGTGGAATATATAGGTTGCAGGGATAACCCCGCGACGCTATCAAAAAAAAAGTTGCCAGCTGAAATATTGGAAAAACAGATTATGGTTTGCAAATATCGGTGACCTCCCCACAAAAGAATATGTCAGTAAACTAAATTATTCTCAGTTACGATTTCTTTTCTTGTTGACAAAATTCCTAACTTTCAGGCTACACGAATGGCTATTTACGTATTAATTGTTGAGATAACGCTAAATACTGTGCCAGGATTGATCATGGTAGTCTCGACAACCACCGGATCGACTGTAATGGTCAACATAATGGCATACGTTTCTGGGATGAGTGCCTGTCATCCATTCATTTTCGCATTTGCGCACCGCGATTTCAAGGAAGTCTTGCACCGCCGGTCTGCGCAGCTTCAAAAAGGGGATTCCTCAAAGTCGAACGTTGGAAAGTTTTCAGTTTTTATGCGTTTTTGCTGTGCAGCGCTATAGCGCTGCTACAGCCAGCAAAAACGCATACTGTCGAGAGGCTGTGTGTGTGTGTGTGTGTGTTTGGAAAGCGAGTACATTTTGTCACCCACTTTCATCTCAGCAACAGGAAAGCTGGGAGGCTGAAACTTCGGATATATGTTCTTACCCCTTGTGTCATCCTCCCGTTTTAAGATCTTCCCCGTACGCGCCTAAACCCCGCGCACGAGACCCCCAAAGGAATTTGTTGGCGAAAAACCGTTT